CCCCTAATGGCCGAGCTCCCTTCTTTCTATCATTGGACTTCCCCCCCCCCCCCTCTTTAGACCTATAATAGCCCAATACAGTTTGGGAAAACCTCCAATCATTCATTTGGGGGAAAAGACCTTTTGTTTGCCATTGCTTCTAGCTTCCTGGTACGTATATACTAATTTACAATTCTGCCTGCCTCAGATGAGTTGGTAAAAGTGTTTTTATTAGGGATGCATCGATATATATCCGCCCCCAAAACATATCGGCCAAAAATGGCACTTTTAGCAAAGTGCCGAAAGTGCAATTTTTTGCCAATATCGCAGGGCGCATCCCTGCTTTCTCTCCTCTCCGCTGGTCGCTGCTCTGTGTCCCAGCGGGGAGGAGAGAAACTGTCACAGGCAGCCGAGTGCTGCGGGAGGAGAGCGCTGTGAGTGGCCGGCGTCTCTCCTCCCCGCACCGCTCAGCCTCCTGTCACAGATCAGAGGAGAGCGGTGTGTGGGGGCGAAGACAGCCAGCACAGTCACAGGAGGCCGGCGGTGCAGGGGAGGAGTCAGCTGTCAGAGCTCTCCTTCCCGCACTGATCGCTCACCCTCCTGTGACAGCTGTCAGGATGGATCAGTGATCGCTGAGTGTTTGTAAATAATTGAGGACAGAGTATGTTTACTATATCCTCAATTATGAATGAATGGGAAGTGATCTACATCCCCTCCTGTTCATTCATGATTGTGGTTATAGTAAACACACTCTGTCCTCATGTTATGAATAAACAAGAACACTCGGTATAGAGGATTCCTGTTCTGGGGATGCAGAAAAAGAGATTGAGGACTTTGTGTCCTCAATCCCTTTTTTATATTTTAAAAGGGAAATATCAGGTGTCTGTTTAGACCCCTACTATTTCCCCAAAGCCCCTAAAAGTAAAAAAATAAAATATTTAATTAAAAAATAATATTAAAACAAAATGTAAAAGTTGATAAAAAATATATACAGATAAAATATTTTTAAAATTTGGAAAAAGTTAGAAAAAAAACATTTTCGGTTTTCGGGCCGACTTTTTTTTTTTTTCATTTCTGTTTCGTTTCGGTTTTGAAATTATCATTTCGGTGCACCTCCTAGTTTTTATTTTTGGTTATTTAAACAGGTTTACTTTTAAAATAATATTTATTATTGATACCAGAGCGCTTCTCTAAGAGAAAACTTTTGCAGAGCGAAGTCTTTGCTGCGCCAAAAAACCCAGCCTGTGTATTTCAAGCCATTGTGCTGCCATATCCACATTCTATCCCCACACATCTTGGGAAGGTTAAGATGAGGTTGTTGTCACAGATTTCTCAATCAGTAGATTGGTTGGCAATGAGTGAGTGGGTGGAAGCAGTGCTTGCCAAGGAGGAAGCTCTTCAGTAGGATGTTTGGCATAACAAGTGTTGGATGCCAACAAATACCTTTCACTCACATCCAACAGTTTCATCATTAGAGTGTTCTCAATAAAAACAAGCTGTTATTTAGTAATAGAAGCCTACACTGTTAATTCGGGGCAGTATATTTCCACTAATATGCTTCTCTTCTGAATGAATGCTGCAGCTTTTCTTTCCACTCGTGCAATGTAAAATGAATGCGACCATTTATATTAGAGTGGTTTGATGCCACCTCTGATGATTGAAGAGATTCCCCAGGAAAAAGATAGACCCTTTGCATCTTCTCATGAATTGGAACTTATTTACAGCTCTAAACCCATTATGTTCAGTTGCAAAGCCTTAGGCATTGGTCAGGCCTCTACCTTTTAAAATGAGCTGAGCTGTTAGGGGAAATGTTGCACGGATACCATATCAATTCTGAGTATCTATTGTATGGACTAGCACAACGCAATACGTGTACATTCAGAATCACTGGTTTCCAATAATTTGCTGCCATGTCAGCTGATTGACCTTATGTTGATATTACATGCTGTCTCCTAGCTCCTTAGTGTGTGTTAGACTGGCCATACACTAAATAAATTTTTTCATTCTGCCCGCGGAATAAAAGAAAAAAAATAGAGCCGATTCCTCCATCAACACTAACAGCGTGCTGATCGAGGAATCCCACTGTTTACATTGTGTTCTGACAAGGGGCGCCGGCCCCTGTCAGAATATCCGTCCAGAGCGGGCAGTTCATTGGCTGTCGGCTCTGATCGATCAAAGATTTTCTGATCGGCTCCTTCGATCAGCTGATCAAGGGATGTTGATCAAAAGGGTGGCAGACAGCAGCACACACTGTGCGCATTTCTGCCGCTTCCTCAAAAACCAGACGAAATTTGAGCAGTGTATGAGCACCTTAACAGTATAAGATAACAGAGTCCTCTGGTTAAGGAGACTGTAAACCGCTATGGGGCTCTACGATTAAGCTCCACTAGTGGGTAAAACATGTCTGTGGAAGTAGTGGGTTGGAATATCTGTGTCCATGCTGAAACGTTAACAATAAAGTTGTTTTTAGATGATTGAGAACAGAGTACGGCCTGGTATTGTATAGGCTACATGAGTATGGTCCAGGTTAATTGAACTGAATTGCAGTAGCGTTCAGAGCCTGAGGTCCATTTTCAGTGGAGGGCTTATTATTAAAAAGAAGACATTCATTTTATTGCTATGTTTATTTATGTTCTGTAGTTGTTACTAGCTTAATAGTTTCCATTGTTGTACATGTTCTTAAAACTTTGTCATCACTTTGGGGGGATGCTATGCCTTTGAATTGTGGATTGCCGGTAGTCATAAACAGAGACCAGTGCTAAACTCTTGCGGTATATCTAAACAGAGACCAATGCTCAACTTTTGCATTATATGTTCACTGAACTGATGAAGCTTCCATCTGATTGATTTTTTTTTAGGTTCGGCACGCAGTAACTACTGTTGTTGGAAATTGGCTTTTGGAGCTCAGAGACAGATATTCTTACTTTCACAAACTGATACCTCTCCTACTGAGCAGCTGCGGTGATGAGATTCCTGACATCAGGTAAGGTATCATTATGCTGCCTTGTACTTCAGTTGGCTTGATTGTAATGTTTATTATAGCCCACAGAGATGGCTTTTCCCGCCTATGTTATTTTGAAGGCCACTTTTGGAAAAAGCCTTTGAAACAAACCTTATGAAAGTAAGAGTACAATTGGAGCTGTCATATATAGCAGCCAATTGGTCTGCTTGTCATATTTGCTGCGAAGATGGCGGGGATAGGGATCTTAATGGTTTCTATGGGCAGCTGCTCCACTGAAGTTCAAGTTTTCTTTGCTCCCGTATACTAATCCAATCTCTCTAGGCCCAATAAACTATGATTGCAAAGTCTCGCACAGCACGTCTGATTGTGGGGCGCATTGCATTTTACATAAATTGTTGCAGTGCATATAGTTTATTAGGAGCAAAAACCATCCTCACCATAATCTTGACTGACTTCCATTGCCCCAAATATTGATGAACCTATTTGCTGAAAAAAACATTTTTGCAGATCGTCTGTCTGACTTTTGTGCAGCGTATGGCACTGTGCGAAATTAACATTTGGCACACTAGTTGCATCTTTGTCCCCATTCACACCTAGGCAACAGCGTTCTCTGACATATTGTCACACTTTTGTGCGCACGTCTGATGCACATACATTAGGTTGCACTTTTCAGCTGGCACATTGTGAGACATTACTGTAAACTAGAGGTCACCGAAATGAAAATGTAAAAACCGAAATGAAAAAAAATGTCAGGCCGAAACCGAAAATATGTTTTTATTCTTTTCAAATTTTTTTTCAAAACTTTTTCAAATTTTTTTAAATGTTTTTTTTTTCTATTTTATAAACGTTTTAATTTTTTATATTTTATTTTGTTTTACCCGCTCTCCATCTTGACAGCTGTCACAGGAGACTGGGCAGGGCGGTGCGGGAGGAGAGCTCAGCCTCCTGTGACAGCAATGACAGCTGTCTCCGCCCACACCGCCGCTCTCTATCCTGGATTGGCTGTGTTTAGGAGGCTGGGTGGTGCGGGAGGAGAGCTCAGCCTCCTGTGACAGCAATGGCTGTCTCCGCCCACACACCGCTCTCCCGATCTGTGACAGGAGGCTGAGCGGTGCGGGGAGGAGAGATGCCGTTCCCTCACAGTGCTCTCTTCCTGCAGCGCTGCGGAAAGGAGAGCTCTATTTGACAGCTGGCTCCTCCCCTGCACCGCCGGCCGGCCTCCTGTGACTGTGCTGGCTGTCTTCGCCCCCACACACCGTTCTCCTCTGATCTGCGACAGGAGGCTGAGCGGTGCGGGGAGGAGAGACGCCGGCCACTCACAGTGCTCTCCTCCCACCGCACTAGGCTGCCTGTGACAGTTTCTCCCCCCCCCCCCCCCCCCCGCTGAGACACAGAGCAGCGCCCAGCGGGGAGGAGTGAAGGAACAGACGCACCGCGATTTCGGCCAGAAAATGGCACTTTCAGAATTTTGCCAAAAGTGCCATTTTCGGCCGATATATCGGTGCATCCTTAATGTAAATGCACAAAACCGCTTGTGTTGCATGTTTCCATTAAAGTCTATGGGACCAAATGTGCTGTAAGCTGCCAAAAAGTAGCTCATGTACATTTTCCAGCCACAGGCTTTTTTCTCCTTGTGACAAAATGCTCAGGTGTGATCAGGGGCCATAGAAAGGAATGGGGAACCTTGACTTACTATTCAAACTCTTAAACTTCAATAAATCAATGTTCCATGTGTGTCATATATTTGGGGCATCATCAATGGTTTAGCTATGTTTATATGTTTACTGTTCTAGAGAAAGCTGGTCAGAAGAACAGCCTGACAGCCAGGGGCACCTATTAAGGTACAAATGGTGCACAAAATGAAAGGGCTTCTTGTCTATACACTTTGTCAGGTTCCACTCAAATATTGATGTAAAACTGTTATCAGACTTGCTAGGAGAGATACATTAGGATAATGGATGGGCTAAAATTCTTGTCTTTCCTGGAGAAAATGATACTTAAGAATATCTTGACGGTGTGTGAAGGGATAGGCTCTTAAAACGAATGGCAAACACACTCATCAACTCATAACCAGCTTTAAAGCAAGGTGCACATGGAAGGGCAATTATACAGTACAACAGCAAAAAGTTTCCCTCACCAGCCAGCATGCAACAAAAACCTGTCTAACCGCTAAGGTTAAAAACAGAGGTTTTAGATACACGTCTTCTGCAGAATATGTGGAAGCCGCACAGTCTCCTCAAGGCCCCTCTGTGTAGTGGAGTAGTAGTACAAGATACATTTTTCTCCTTTCTGTTGCTGTTTATTTCTCTATCTCGGTTAAATAGTTAACAAAGCATTATGTTACTATTTGAACATACTGTAGATCTATGTTACATAACAATGACAGGAAGTTTGATTTTGATAAACCCCTACAAAATGTGATTATATATTGGTCATATTAAAGAAAATCTCTAGCAAGAGAAATCCAGGACTGCCATTGCTAACCACCTTCTAAAAATGCTTGTTTGCCTGGCTGCCTCTAATTTCAGCACTTTGAAACACTGAGCTGGAACAAGTATGCTGATTAGAAGGTCTGCATAGTTTTACCAGGTTATAAAGTACTTAAAGTATTATTAAAGCCTCTGGGTTTTTGCATGTATCTATTGCTAGTAAGCAGCAGATATATGCAAAAACATTCAAATAAAATACAAAAAAGGTTCAAACTTCCTGTGTCTCCACCGCTTTCTCCCGTCCGAAGTTCTGAAGATTCTTGGCCAGCCGCAAAGGATCATGGGGTGGGCGCATGTGCAATAGAGATCTTCGGCCATGAGAAGAGGAGAGACACAGGGTAAGTCTGTGCACGGGCACAGACTCCATGGGACAGGAAGACACAGCAGTCAGGGCTGGATCAGAGATCGGTACCAGCGCTGGAGGAACTCCTGAAAACTTCAGGAAAGAAGAAGATGATGATCGGATCAAGAGGCATCATTTAAGGCAGTGGTGCCCATTAGGTAGATCGTGATCTACCAGTAGCTCTCAAAGCTGATGCTGGTAGATCACGAACGGTGTGAAGGTGGCCCCTTTATTCCATTTTGGTATATTTATGTCGCTGTGCACACATTACCTATTAGCCGGAGTCTGCTGAGCCAAGCTCCCTGACTCCTTTCTGGTGGTTGAAGTGCTATGTATTACATCAAAGAATATTACTTTACACAGCCTGTTGCACTACACTGTTTGCAAAATACAGCAAGGTGAGCCAGGAGAGAGCGGGGAGAGACAGACAGGAGAGAGAGCAAGGAGAGACAGCCAGGGGAGAGAGCAAGGAGAGGCAGCCAAGAGAGGCAGCCAGGAGAGAAAACGAAGAATGACAGCCAGGAGAGAGAGAGCGAGGAGAGACAGCCAGGGGAGAGAGAGCGAGGAAAGACAGCCAGGGGAGAGACAGCCAGGAGAGAGAGTGAGGGAGGTTTTTTTTTCATTGGTAGATCTCATGTAGCTCGTCATTTGAAAAGTAGATCTTAACACAAAAAATTGTGGGCACCCCTGATTTAAGGTAAGTCCTTACACCAGCATAGGGGGGGAGGATTTTTTTTTTTAATTTAATGCCACTTTAAGCTATTGGAATAGCATTTTCAGAAGAGGACAGCTTCCATATTGTCTCACTACAGGTTTTTTAATGTCTTTCTAAACTCAGTTGGAGTATAGGTGTCTTTTATATCTGCCTGACAGTTTTCAATACTTGACCCAAATAACCTTTTATGTTCCATTTTATTTGCTAATGTGAATCTCTGCTCATTTATTATCTCTAAATGCAGACAGATTGCTCTTGATTATTGGAAGAAAATTGGCTTGCAGTGGGAAAGGGAGAATGAAGAGGATCTGAAAGATAAGATGGACTTCAGTGATCCCCACCCTTCTTTCTATCCAGCAGGAGGTGAGCTATTCCTGAAAGTCAGTACATAGCTTTTACAAAATGCTCATGAGTTTATTGGGACTGAGACTTGTGAGGGCTTTTAATTTGATCCGACTTGATGGTTTGTACAATATTTTTGACCTTTGTATCAGTGAGTGAATGCTGTGCTAGTACAGAAAATCTTTTCAGTTTGCGGTCTTTAGTTTGAGTTGATTTCATTGCCCCTTCTTTCTGTTTCAGTGGAAAGACCTGGGCTGGGTTGTCGTGAGCTCATCTTTAGAAACCTGTCTAAAATTCTTCCAGCCGTCAGCCACGATATAACAGACTGGGTAGCAGGAAACCGAATTAAGGCCGCTCAGCTACTTGTAGTCTTGTTGTTGCATGCAGAAGATCACACCACTCAGCATATGGAGCTGGTTCTCAGTACTCTGTATCGATCGTGTCTGGATGAGGAGGAGAAAGTAGTGCACAATGTGAGTATTATTCGGTATGCTGCAGATGATTTACAGAATTGAAGCAAAGAAATAATGGGGCTTTTACCCAAAGCAAGCAGTCTTTTTAGCTTTCATTTTGTAAACTGCTTTAAATAAAGTAAAATAAAGTAAAATTAAATAAAATGGACAACTCATGCTTTTACTGTGGCTATGCAGTCCTTATCTCTTATATTGCAGCAGCTGCAAGGTATAGAAAGAGAATATTGCTTGGAGCCATGTCTACAATCTTCTGCATTTTACAATATTGCCTATGCAGATATTCCATGGTGTGAAACCTTTAGACCACTGTAGACCATCGAGTAGCCTAATTAATTTGCAGGATGTCATATACAATCTTTACTGCTGCACCTAAAACTAATCAGATCTACATTTTTTATTCTCATACTTCCAATTTTCAGTAAAGGTTTGAATCTTATTGGTTAGGATAGTCAGTTTGGTTAATAGGCTGTTCAAGCATCTACACTGCTCATGCTGCCTTATACCATTTTTACACAGTATTTTTGTACTTGTGGTAAGAGCAGAATGCTGTAGTGCTCAGTGTGGGACTGTTGGCTTTACGCTAAACTTTCCCTAACTAAACTCCAGCATTTAATCCCCCACTGCTGCCAGTGACCCAATTCCTGTCCTAGGGTGACATTTTCTTACTGAACTGTATCTATGGAGCTGCACCGTTGTACCCTAGGACAGGAAGTGTGGTGGTACTAAGGAACACTACTACCCCCCTCTTCTCCATAACAATGGCGGGATTTGTTCTGTAGTTTACAGAGGAGCACTGGGCAAGGATGATAATGCTGCTTGAGATAACATTACAGAGTGCTTAGGACTTAAAGGAGAACTATGAGGTGAGTGAAAATCACTCAGCCTCATAGTTCGAGCCGATGTGTGACAATTAAACAGTCACACGCCGGCTCAATAGATTGGTTGGGAAGTGAGCGAACACATACCGTCGCTTGCTCACTTCTTGATCAACTCCCTGCAGAGAGCCGTGACTCTCAGTCACCGCTCCATGCAGAGATCAGCCCCCCGCTCCGATCCTCCAGCACTGAGTGCAGGAACAGACGGGGGAGGGGGCGGGTACTGCTGACTCTGCCTCTAGATAGGCGGAACCAGCTGTCATTCATGCAGCTGGGTGGATCTTGACAGCATTGTTGGGATCTGTCCTGGCTGCGGCGGTCTCCTTATACTGCAAGCTGTAGCTTGCTATATACTGAGCTTTGGGTCACGGTCGGAAGGTTAGTATATGTGTATACTAACAAATTGAAGAAGTTAGTTATTTGGGTTTACATACACCCATTCACACTTAAGTGTTCCGTTGTGTTACGGCATGCCTTAACGTGCACTGCGTTCAGGCAGCCCATTTATTATGAATGGGCAGCCAATACACCACAACGGATGAAAAAACATACATGACCCTTTTTTTTTTTCTTTTCTTTTTTTTAGCAACACAGTGCACCACAACTCTTTGTATGTGTGTTGTGGTGTGTTGGGCCCTGCTGTACATTGCTTTGTGGTGCCATTCACAATGAGTGGCATGACATCGCACCTCATGTAGAGCAGAGGTGTTGACTTGGCTTGTGATAACGTGCGCTTTTTAGCGTGTGTTTCCAGAATGTATGAATAGACCCTCAACCTATACCCTTAACACTTAATTTACCCCAATACCAAACCTGTAGCCTAACACTTATCACATAACCTAGAACCAAATCCACTGGGTCCCCAGAGCCCTTGCCATAGTAGGTATGCACTGCATAATGGGCCCATGAGCAAGTAGGTATGCACTGCATAATGGGCCTGGAGTATACAATACACTGCTTGTGCGGCACCGGCAGTGTATACAAAGAAAACAAATGATAGCAGAGAGGTAAATCTTTTTTTTTTTTTTTTGGGCAGAACAGACTGCTATGAAATGCTTTCTTTTTCTTTTTTTAAAGGTTTTTAGTTCCGGTTTAGCCCCCTAAACACTAACCCTAAGGTAATTCAACCGTCATCAACCTGAAGCTGCCAAAAAAAGCTTTCTATGTAAAAAAAAAGACAAAAATGACCCCGCCTGTGCCCCTTGCGCTTATCTATTGAAGAGAAATCACCGGCTGAAGTGTCTTTAGAAACTGACACTTTCGAGAGTGTCAATAACCTTCTCGCAGTGACTACTACAGTCATTCAACCTCCTGGGAAATCTCTATAACCCTTAAATCATTGCCTTTTCAACAGAAAAATGAATGATCCATTCATTGTACCCGTACCAACCTATTGTACTGGGATTTGTCGAATGTGCTCATTGCATCTACCCGTCTATGTGTATAGTGATATCCTGCTCTATTAGTGAGTATGGAAGGTGGCGAGGGAGTTTTCTAATTCCGCCCATCTTAGCTGAGTTTAACTAGCGCAGGAACTTGTTTGGAAAACAAGGAAACAGTCGCAGGTTGAAATATTATCTGCAAGCAATAGGAAGCACTTCTAATATTGGCAGTTTTATTGATCAGCAGCACTGCAGGTCATGCGAGAATCAGTCACGGCTCTTTGGATATGCGGTATTTGATTTACTGTATTGCCAACCTGTATAAAGTTGTTTGTGCGATTTCCTGTGTACTTTTCTCCAGTTCCACACAATGAACTTCGGGGAAAATAATGGATCTCCTTCCTCCCTTGTTTGACAAATGATACATTTATAATGTCTTATGTTTGTTCCTGTGAAATATTATTTTAGCCATTTATTTATTGAAGCGATTGTAAATCTACTCCAGAAAGACACCAAATATCGTGTGCATTCTTCAGGCGTCTCTATATGCAAGGTGAAGACGGATGGTAGTGGGCATGGCGGGAGATCAGTTTTGGTGCTTTTATTCACAAGAAACAAAGAGTTTAATTTATTTTGAATCCCAGGTGTGGGATTCTCTTTTTCCAATGTGTCTTTTAGAGATAAGCTTTAACACGTTCTCATATGTGGAAGTCTTAATCATGACCAAGTGAGGCCGTATGTAGCAGGCTGTTCGTTCATGTACACTCTGATTCAAATCTATTTTTGTGTAATCATGTAGAGCAAGACTTTATTAGCTAGTGGTATATGTGCCCGGGGCTTACTTCTGACAATTACACAGGGTACAAATACAAAAGCAAATTCAGTTTATAGATTAAAAAGTCCAGAAAAAACTCTTTTTTTTTTGGATGAAATATGGAACGCTTATAACCCCAGGTCAGGTAAAGAAATGACCAGCACCCCTGAAACACTAGGAGGTGAATTTACCAAAAGTGGAGCAGACAAAATCTGGAGCAGTTGTCCATGACAACCAATTCGCTTCTCTCAACGAACGAGAGACAAGAGAAACAAACTGAAAAGATAAGCTGATTGGTAACCATGGGCGACTGCTCCTGATTCTGTCTGCTCCAGCTTTGATAATCCCCTTCTATGTATTAAAACAGAGGTGTTAGTAGCATAGATTTGCAAATCTATGTGGAAGCCATACTGCCGCCTCAAGGCCCCTCTGTATAGTGTGGTCCCTAGCTCTAATCTAAGTTAGATTAGAGTTTACGACCACACTATACAGAGGGGCCTTCAGGAGGCAGTATGGCTTCCACATGGATTTGTACGGTATCTTAAATGTTGGGTTTTTATTGTTATCCAGGGCTTTGATAGATTCCCTTACTGCCATTCTATGGTAGTGGCGCTTACACAAGACAGGATGGAAGGGAAAATATACAACAGAGATGCCTGTGACATCCCCTCCAGGTGCCTGATACATTTTCACTTTATTTCCAGTGTGTCTCTAGAACTTTAGCATCCGGGGCAACTTATGACGCAAATTCTGAGCAGAGCTTGGATGGTTGCCCTCTGATATGGCCTCACTCCCTATCCCTCCCTATTGACCACAAAATGTAAAAGGTCAATAGAGAGGGTTGGAGAAGGACAGGACAGCAGCTATGTGATCTTAAGGAAGAACTTCAGAAAAAAAAAAAACCCATACGGTGGGGCTACCCTTGCAGTGCAAGGGTTAACTGCTTTTTTTTGTCTAGGTTAAAAAAAAAATGTTATACTCACCTAAACCCTGGTGCCAGCTTGTTCTTAGATCGGTCCTTCCAGCCTCTCTCGCCCTCCACTTCAGCAGCCTGTAAATCATCACGTTCTATACACTGTGTATAGACGTGAGGATGCTAAGAAACATTCCAATGCTGCGAAGAAGAGGACAGGCTGAAGGGTACGCTGTGACAGCTGACTGGCTCAGAGCTTCGGGTGTGTATAACTTTTTGTTATTTTGAACCTAGACAACAAAAAAAAGCAGTTCACCTTTGCAGTGCATCGGCAGACCCACTGCAAGGGTCAAGAACAACATTTCCTGGTGTAATCTGTGTAATCATGAACTGCTACATTAGATTTGTGACAAGTTCACTTTAATGTAACAACACCTTTCTGATTGCGTAATAGAATTTCTAATTTATTCAGATAGTATTTACAGGGACCTTTGTAAAGGATGTATATTATTATATATACTTGTGTGTTGTTAATAATAATCATACTATTTTATTCTTGTATCTAGAGTATTAAAGCAGCGGAGTTAATTGGGACCTTTGTGAACCCCGAAGTGTTACTCAAGCTGATCTTGCCAGCGCTGCAGAGGTCTCCCCTAGCCTCACACCTAATGATTCTGGCAGCATTCATTAGAGGGAGTTCCAAAGAGGTGCTGAAACCCCATTTACATCGTATCGCTGATGCCATCTCCAAGACTGACATCTGCCAGGGCTCAGAAAAGGTAATGAAATCAACTGGAACACGCCAGTCTTTTAGCAATATGTTAGTGTGATGAGATTAATACAGATAAACTCCTCAATGAGTTTTAAAACCATTATTTAGAGGAGGCCTTTCTCCACTTGTGACCCCTTTTTGGCCAAGGAAATTTTTACGTGACCCCAGCATCGGACGGTGTCTCTCCCCTCTTTCCCCCCAGCATCGGTCGGTGTCTCCCCCCCTAGCGTCGGTCAGTGTCTCTCTCTTCTCTCCCCATACCCCCCCCTAGAATTACTGGTCGTACCACCCTGATGGCGGTCCTGGACAGGGATTCAGATCGCGAAT